ATATAGTATATATATTCAGAATTAGAGGGAAGTGGAGTGTGGTACAGGGTAAGTAATTCTTGAATTCTAGTGCAGACAGGTTTTGTCCTTCTCTATAAAATGGTAATTTACTTGAAAGTTGTCCTGGGAGCCCAGGGCAAAAGTAATTAATAAATTTAAAATATATGATTATGCAGTTTTTCCATTACCACATTATTATTATCATTATTATTATGTTGGAATTTATTGAGGGTAATGAAAAGTGCACTTGTTCTTAAAATGTGGCCTCGAAATATGATGTGTAGTGATAGAGTTACGATGCTGATTTGACTATCATGACTGTAAGATGAAAACACCATTTTCAGTCAAAATGAAGGATAAATGTCAAATTAATTTGAAAGCAGTATTTTCCATAGAGCTGTAGTGTGTTACCCAGTAGAGATACACATACAAATAGGGACTTTGCTATCCCATTGTCATTCAGTTTAGAGTGGTTTTTATGTTATATAGGTTGGTTGAGTAGTGGTTGTATTTCAAAAATTGACTTCACTGTTATCTGTGGGCAGTAGTACTTGTTCCATGACATTGACATTCAGTAGGTGAAGAGCTATTTACTCTTACATCATGTATTCCACAGTCTTGCCAACACTAATGGAACCAATCTCAGAGAGTGAAAGATGTCTACAGACACAGTGGCTTTAAGCACCTCAGCTATTTTAATTTAGCCATAGTTCATAAGCTTTGTCTGTGCACTTATTATCTTGCTTTTCCTAAACTATTCTCTTCAAAGTAAAGAAGAATAAGGTGTGTTTCATAGTTTTATTTCATTACAGCCAGTGTGCAGATTAGATCGAGAGCTTGGGTACAACTCTCATAAGCTACACTGAAGTGTATGAGTGTAGTTCATTACATTGACAATGAAAAAATCAGTCTTAGAGTGACAATCATTGTATATTAGTACTCACCAAGTGCAATGTGATGTACATTTCCTCTATTATGTAGGAGTTTCATGTTCTCTAGTAATTACTGACAGAAAAAAAGCCACATTGTCAGTAGTGCTGCTTATCACAGATCCTACTAAAGTCAGCAAAGACCTTGTTGCACAGAATGTCTTAAATCAAGAACCAAAATTTTGTTTTGGTGGTTCTTCCTATTTCCTCTACAGTAGAAGGAAGCTACAGTAGAAATAGGGGTACTAAGCTGTATAATTGGCCAGAATGTGTGTTGTAAATACCATACAGTCTGGCCATGACGCATATGTGAGTAGACCCTGAAGGCCAGAGAGTTTAGTCTGGAGCCTTAGATTTAGTGCACAGATGCTGCACAGTCAGTACCTGAAAGCTAAGGAGGCATTTGTCTGAAATCTTCAGACGTCCTTCTCAGAGCTGCTGTTAAAACTGAGAGACAACCAGAAAACCTAACCACTTTTCCTCTTTTCCATCTAGACAAAATTTCTAGGAGGTGGGGGACTGAGCATGGGGAGGAACTGTAAACAAATGTGATAGCCATGAAGGTAGGCAAAAAGAAGGGGCCTTAATAAAATAATAGCAGTTCTGTCAGAGCAGCTTTGTAGAAGAGTGTGTTGTTTTTACCACAGAAGCCAAGACACTGGCTGTCACTTCTGAAAAATAGAGTGAACCCATATGGATTCTATAAGGCTTGAGTGTTAACGTATTAATGCTAAAGTATTTTTTTTATCACAGGGAAAGTGGAGTTGAATAAAGGGCTAAGAGCTGTATACAATCTAATGCCACTGATGTGGACTCCTGGGTACTTGAATAGAGCCTTGCAAGTGGTGGAGAATGTGGCTTCATTGTCAGGGGACAGCAAAATTTGCAAAGAATCTGTAAGTATGAAGGCTATGATGCCCTGAACAAAGGTAGTTTCATACAAGCTAAACTCCAGTAAAATCTGTGAATTCTGTGCCTTGCTAATGAGATGTTCAGCGACACTTCAGAGGTCTTTGGAAGGCGGGAGAAGTAATGTTTAGAATAGAACCATGCTGCACTTGATGAGCCAGTGATGATGTTTACTGGCATGTCTTTGGAGTTGAGTGTCTGTTATTCCCACAAGCCGTTTAAGTTTGTTTCCTAAACCTTCCCCCTGCATAGAGACACCTGGGTTAGTGTCATAGGAAGCACAGGAAGTCTGTGGGGATGGGCAGACATCTTTGTTTCCCAAGTTTCTGAACTCACTTGTAGACATACTTCTTAGCAGTGAGGATGAAATAACACATCTTGTTCTTCTCCCAGCTAATTCTATGTATTCTGTGCCCTCTGAGATGATGTCCTGAGTTACACTGGTCCAAAAATTTTACAGAATGATTTCTATAAGAATTGTAGTGCCTTGAGTTGGGGAGGATGGATAGATTCAGTCCATTTGTGAGGTCAGCTTCATCTAAGGAACTTGTGGCTTAGGAGTGCTGTGGGGCATCAGGCTGATCCTAGAATCAGACATCTTAGGAAGAGTAAGTTAGGAAACCACCACCACATGGGCTGGAGCATAGAAACAGCACTGCTAGCATCATTACTAGGCTTGCAGTCTCTGCAGTCCCATTGACAAACAAAGGCCAGGGCACTGCTCAGCAGATTCTGTCTATTGCTCCACGCTGTGAAGCAGCTTTGTGTAATACTGGACAGTGCAGATAAGGAAGTGTCATATCTGCAACTTGTACCAGATTGAGTTACATCTTCAGGTACATGGTTTTGGGTGTTTATTCCTCACTCCAAGTCTGAAGAATTCAGCCTATCATGCTTGTAATCTTTTATACTTGCAAACCCCAGGGAAATTAAGGAATTCTTCAGCTTGCTCTGGGTTGTAGGTGAACATCCTAGTACTGGCCTGCATTGGCCTGTGGTACAACAGGTCCGTAGAAGATACCATCCTTCTATGTACCAATGCTGTAACAATAGTAAACACTACTGATAATTTAGCAATGCTTTATTCACAGGGACACTTTTTACTTTTTGCACTGAAAAACTAAGAACTTACAAGGTTGTTACTGATTGCTCACTAATGCTGCAAGTGTCTCTGTACAAATACAGTAGTCAAGCCCCAAAAGCAATGACCATGAAAGACACACAGAAACTTCCCTGAAAAGATACTTTGCCTTATATGGATTTTAGGTAGCAGTATATAAACAATAGTGCAAGTCACATAAGTTTCACCAAACTGAGGACCAAGAGCAGGCCAGGATGGTTTGCTATTATCGAAGTAATTGTTCTGTAATGCATTTTTGTGACCCCAATGCAGAAAGGAAAACAGGAAAACATGCTGGTCGATACCCTTATCTAGGGTAAAGTAATTATAGTGTATTGATTTGCATCATCTGGCCTTTTCAACCTAAATGCTTATTAAGATCTTACTATTAAAATCCATGCAAGACATTTTTAGTTACTGTTTCTGACTAAAATGCAGTATTCCTAAAGGTGAAGGACTAGGAGCACTGACCAGGTCAATAACGGGGTCAGTCAACTTCCACTGAATTCAGCAGCAGCAAAGATGGAAACAGTTTCAAGTGCCATAAACCCTTTTTTCCTGCAGTACCCTGGGTCTCTTGTGGGCAGGACTAGGTTGAATATTATGCAATTCTAATAAATCCATATTGAAGCACCAAGAAGTATGGGCCATGTTAAAAATCACTGTTCTTGCATGCCTGCACAATCACAGAGTTATTTGAGAAAGACATGGCCCTGGTTTTGGGAACTCAGCTCTTTTCCAAAATGTAACATTGTTTTCTGGCTGGATGAATTTCATTATCTAAAAGGGAAGTTTTCAAAAGAACTTTTATAACTGCAGTTTTTGTATAAACATTATCAAGTGATTCCAAATGATAATCACTCACTTACTTTTCTTTCAGAAATCAGTGGAAGCTTAAAGCCTGTCCATAAGGGAGTCTCTTTTCCCTCTACTATTACTATGTTAACAAAATAATAGAAATACTGTTTTAGTGTCATGCTATATTGTTTAACTGTGAACAATCAAGACAAGTTTTGGTTTTTTTAATTGTCTCAGAAGGTCTCTGAATGATTGTATGTATTTCCAAGCACATAGTTATTATTTCATTACTTATTTAATCCTGTTTCAGTACTGCTAGTTTAAAGATGGCATTTCAGTGTCAAGAATGTTATTTCAAATAAGCCTAATTTTTATTCCATTATTATTATATTTTATGCTGGGAAAATTAAACTGTAATTATAGAGATCCCTTTTGCTTGGAGAAAACGTCACAGAGTCAAAGGTTACACAGAGTTATTTTATCTGCTGATAAACATTCAGGATTCGTAGAAGGATAACAGCTCTTTGCATTTGTAAAAGCTAAAATTTAAATTGCAGGCAACCTGCATCTAATAATTCCAGTGACGAATAGCATGTTATTCCCAAAACAGCACCAGTATCCATATAGCAGTTCTATCTTTTGTATCAATAATACATACAAAAATAATTTACCAAGTCCCTTAGTGAAGCTAATGCATTCTTCTGATACAAGTGCAATTAGATTAGGAGAGGGTGGTTCTCTTGCTACCTCAAAAGACAAAAACATGAAGAGAACAGAGGTGTCACAGAATAAAAATACACCTATATCAATATATTAAATCCTTACATTTCCATTTTTCCTGTTAAATTGTCAAACTAATGATAGGAATGAGTGTTCTTGTTGTTGAATGGGTGATTTCCTTGCTTCTTTTCACCAAAGAGGTACTATCTTTGTACCTCTAATCATCTATTGTAGAGGTACTCTAATCATCTATTAGAGGTTATATTGTTTGAACAGTCCATAGTAATATCTTATTTAGATGTATCTGTGACTGTGTGTCATGCTGGTGCTTTTACCACAGAGACTACCATTTAGCATTAGTATCTATTGCTAGATATCAGGCCAGGAGGAGGTAACAGCCTAATACTTGACAGATCTGCAGGTACCAGTCAGCATCTGAGTCACAAGGAGTTTTATTGCTGACAGAGGGTGGTGGAATTTTTCTCTTGCGGGTATTTAATGTCCAACCTCAAAGATCTCAAGTACAGTACAAAATTCTTCCAAGTGTAAGTCCCATTTCCTTCTAGAATTTGGTTTTCTTTTTATCATACACAGAAGTCATCTCAAAATACATGGTACCTCATGAAGCTGTTGGTAAACATGACAGCAGTGTTACTCAGATTTTATTTCCATGTTGTTTATGCTAACAATGACTAATGCGATTTTTCAGATCGATGCTTTGGAGACCATTTTGCAGTCTGTCCTTAAAGCAAAAGCTGGTCCAGAATCAGCTGAAGAAGTCAAGGAATTAGAGCAGAAGTCACAGTGTGCAGAATCAGAAGAAACAGAGCAGTCTAAGGTGCCCGAGTATTACAGCCGATTCAAGGTAAGAGAGTTTCATTTATCTAAACATTCTAAGCTGTAGTAGATCTCCATAATACATAATAGAAGATATATATATGCTGGCTTATTATGGCTAGTAGACTGATACCCCTTCAGTGCATCAGGAGTCCTACCTGGCATTTTTGAAACTGATGTCATCTTACATTTTCACTTCTTCAAACAGAAAGCATCAGCCTACAAAGACATAAATGCTCAAGGCCACTTGTGTTTTACGTCTGCTGGGATTTTATCTTCACATTTCATACATCAAAATGATAAATCTATTCCTGTTTGTAAAAGTGGTATGGCATTAGAGATCCATTATCTGACCTTGTGTAGGCTCTTTCTCATTAAGATGTATTGTGATAGGCATGACACCATCCTGAATTTGCTGTCCGTTTGCCTATGTTATGATTAAGTAGGAATGTTGCATTCTGTACTTTGGGAGTTAAGAAAGGCTGTATATCCTCCCTTTTATATTTAGGTCATCACGCTGATGATAAGAATATGAAACACAGCAATTGTTCTTTAGGGCATAGCTATATGATTAGTGCATTGTATTTTTACCATCTTTTAGCTATGTAACGAGCTCATTTTATTTTATCATCTCTGATTAGTGCTTGGTAAAAATCAAATGTTTGAAATTAATCTGTCGCATAGTTCCTGGAGCATACCTGGAACTGTTCCCATCAGTTTCCATTGCAGCTATCATGACCTTAGACAATTGTTCTGAATGCAAACCATTGTTTTCTAAAGAAATTTCAAAAGTTAAAAGACTAGTATCCTATGGTTTCACCTCACATACACACCCTTTTCCTTTCCTTAATTCTTATTTACATAAATTATTTGCCGTTAATCTTCAGAGGATAAACTCACTTTGTAGGCACTTGGAACTTTTTAATTAAAGTGTTTGGGAATCATTGGGTGCTCATCATGAGATAATTAATGCCTGAATGAATTACAGTGAATTAGGTAAACACAACTGCCCTTTGAAGGAGGGAGTGTGATGGTTTTTTGAGTTTCTCATTGTCTGTCCATTTTTGAGCCTTGAAGAAAATAATGCGAAGTGCTCAAAACAAGGCCTAAATGTCAAACTGGGGACAGACTAGTGCCAAGAGAGTAGTTTTCTTCTCACCTCAACCTTTCTGCAAGTTCCATAATTAATCCCAATTCAGGCATTCCCTGGTGTGGCAGTGAATCCCCTGACTTTGAGCCAACAACTACAGTCACAATGCTTAGCTCTAAGCTCTCACCAGAAAAATCTGAATATAAGAAAGACATAGTCCTCATGTGAAGTCTAGGCATCCAACAGTAATTTATATGTAAATAAGCCACAATTTCTAGTTGTCTGGATGAGAAAGGAGCTCTCAAGTCATGATCTGTTTCAGCTAAGCCTGAAAGAGTTCTCAGACCCTTGTCTCAAATCCATTAGGCCAGCACCAGCAAGTCTTCCCAGTTGAACCCCTGGACACCTACGGGCATAGTTCACTGGGCTGAGAAGTTCACTAGAAATCCATACAAGTCTGAGGGAAAGTGCGAGCTCTGAAGCAACCTGGTGATGTTTGCTTTCACTGCTACTGTCCCAGCACACATCATTTGCCACCATGTCATGTAACCCCAACACAGGATTTGCACTTCTGCTGAAAACACTTTGGTTGCACTTTGTCCAGCCCAGCATTAGCCACCAGGTCCCAGTCTTACTCCTTGAGCTCAAAACCGATTGCTTCTGTCTCCTGCTTGCCCAGTTCTCTTTCACAAGTCATATGCACCTGGGTGCATGAGGAAAAGCATGTGAATTTGCTCCAGACACACAGTTCTTCACTAGAACTGTAGCTTGTTCTGCATGGCTTTTATACGCATACTTGGACTCCATGTCTCATACCAACCTTCAGAACAACTGTTCTGAAGGTTGTACCTGAAGTACCTGAAGAAGCTATGGCAGCCTAACGGACACCGTGTGTGAGAGGCAGCATGTCCTTCAGTTCCACAAGCAGGACTTGAGGGCATTTGGCTCTTCCAGATAAACCCTTTAGAGCTGTAATTTAGACTCTCTGTCTGAGACTGTCATTCATACTACCTGTTTTCAGATCCGTTATGCTGAAGCTCACTACTCAGTATAATGTTCCTCAGGCAATTCTTCCCATCTGTGTCAGTGATCAGTAAGCAAGCATTTCATCACATAAATGCTGAGAACACCCTTTCTAAAAGCAGTGCTCCTTCTCTAATGGTCTGCATTCAGAGCCCTGGAGACTGCTTACAAAAATCAATGATATAGCCGCTTAAAAATGTGCCCTTTGGCACTTGCAGGACATAGAGCTTGCTTTCCTAAATAAGTTTCACTAATGTATGACAGCAGAGCAGGGAAGATTCTTGAAGTTCAGTAGTGCCAGTACCGGCTTAGAAGGAAAGTCCTGAGAGTTTCCAATTTGTTGCCTTTCTGTAGTTCAGTATCATACTGCTTAGGTTCAGTGCTTAAACCACCGTTTCAGCCCATCCTTGGTAGTAGTTAATGTGGAGAGTCTGAAGGATTTAAAATAGTTACATTTAAACTGAATATCTAATCTGTAAACATGAGTATAGTTGGCAGGTTCCTTCCCCAGACCCAAGCTGTATGGTCTCTTTGTGTTTCTCTCTGATGCGTTGTGTACTTACTGACATCTCAGAGAAGAACACACCTAAATACTGCTATGTTTGGTGTTAGTCCGTTAGCTTCAAAGCCATTGGGTTTGTTTTCATTCTTTATCATAAAATCAACACCCAAACAGAGCCAAATACCCAGGCCTCTCAGACCTGCCTGCCTAGTATTTTAAAAAGTCTTTAATCTGTTGTCTGTCCAGTTCAAACCTTCGAGGTTTGAGCAGAACACAAGGAAGCTTGCAGTTGTGTTGGCTCAGGCAGGGAAAAACAGAGAGACCTCAGAGGGAATATCATAGTTTCCTGCCTAAGAACAAGTCAGACCCTCAAGACAGGAGCTATGGGGCAGTGCCTTTGCAGTTTATTGCCAGTGGAGGCTGAGGCAAGAGAAATACTGCGGTCCAGCAGCACAGTGCAATAAGCTTCCAGTGGTATGTGGAAGTCTGGTTATCTGTAGCCTCAGAATTGCCACGGTGTTTGGATGAGAAAGGTCGCTTCATCTTTCCATCATAGAATCATAGAATAGTTAGGGTTGGAACAAACATTAAGATCATCCAGTTCCAACGCCCTGCCATAGCTGGGGAGACCTCACATTAGACCATGTCGCCTAAGGCTCTGTCCAGCCTGGCCTTGAACATTGCCAGGGATGGAGCATTCACAACTTTCTTGGGCAACCTGTTCCTATAATGCAAAACAATAGCTTTTATTCAGAGGGCACAAAAGAATCTTTCTAGGACATGTACTTACTTTAAACATTTCTGCAAGCGTGGGCTCAGTAAAATGTTTTATTTAAAAGAACAAAATGGAAAATGTGTTGCTATCTACTGAGTGAGCAAGGGGTAAAGAATATGCCAATGCCATGTCATTTTTCTCACCCAGGAAACTCCTCTTTGGTTGTGTACCTGCACTTTTAAGGCAGTTAACCAGATTGTTAGTGAGCCATCAGGCTAAAGATTCCATAAAGCCAGAAATAGTATCACTGGATGATTCATCATCTTAAGCGAATTAACATTTTTATGCTGCATAAAATCTAGATAAGTAAAGCTCAAGAGAGAAATACTGCATGTTTTCTTACTGAAGCTCTGCTCTTAGTTTCACTGTAGAGCATCTGAAAAAATATCCCTTGCTTTAATACTGTTGTACAGTCTATGTGAGTATAGTCAAGCCTTAGAACACAGTAACTGTTGGGAAGAAAAATCATGGAGTTACTTAGTATGTTCTTAGCAAAAGAGCATTTAAAATTACGTGCATTTGTTGAGAGCGATGCTAATGCAGGTAGTATGGAGCATCAGTTGGTTTCGATGTAAGACACAAGAATGGTTAATTAAAATGAAACTTCATTTTTTTTAGTTTTATTGCTCAAAAATTATTCTAGAGGTTAGCATTTCAAGAAATGGTACCAGCTAACCACAGCACAACACTCCTGGGATAAAGTAGTTCCCTGGCCTACATAGCCCAGTAGTTATAGTGTGTATAGTGTAATAGTTAGATTCAGACAGCAATGTATTGGTTATTACAGAGAATTATTTTGTGACTATTTTGTGACTGACTGGCTCGCTCCTTTTCGCTTTCTGCTAAATCCCTTTTTATGACAGGAGCTATACTCCAAGCTGCATTCACTTGGCAAGGTTGAATCTGAAAGCCTGTTAACCCTGACCACCCAACTTGTCAAGGAAAAGATGCCAGCATGTGAAGTGGAAGACATTGCGAAATATGAGCAGAAGCTAAAGGAGTGGGAGCAAGAACAAGCACTTCTCATTGAGAGAGAAAGAGAGATGAGAGAAAAGGCTAAACAGGAAATGGAAGCTAAGAAGCTAGCTAAAGCGTCTGCTTAGTGCTGGAACTCCAAGACTGCCATGGTGGTATGCATTCCTCTGTCACTGAACTGATCACCATTATTAATATTCACTTCAGTCCCGCTACAAATGTGACTGTATGTGACTGCTGTATGGAAATTAAAGTTTTCCCATTTTGCCTGTTTCCTGAAGTAAAGCACATGTGGTTTAGAGATCTTCGTCCTCTGTATGATACATTTTCCTCCTACCATCAGCCAGGCAGGGGGTGGAAAAGATACAATACAAAGAAACAAGGGTACAAGAAGTAGCTTGCCTGTAACGAAAGGTGTGAAGGGTGGAAGAAACAGAGAGGGAAGAATTTCGAACACAAGTTGTTTCAGTAGAAGTTTCTCACAGGAAAGAATGCCTTGGCTACTCTGAACTTCAGACACTAAGAGGATTAGTGTATACTGATTGCTTTTTTTCCCCTCCAACCCATTTGGAAAATCTAGGCAACTATACATGGAGTTGGAAGCCTAACTTCAGAGTGTTTTTAAAGTACTTAAAGAGTTTCAGCCTAGTGAGTTAGCACTTGTGCAGGCACTCATATGTGCCTTCTCTATAAGGAAATTAGAAATTTCTCATTTTACTGCTGCTGTGCTGCTCCATTTTTAAGGTCAGTACAGAAACACACACAATCACTTCGGCACACACTGCGGAGCTTCATACTGCAGTGCAGTTTCTTTTTATATTCTTGGCGCTGTTTCATGGGGAGTTTGACCTAATTCCCTTCCTGTCTCAGCTGTGTACACGGTCCCATGCCCCAGTCTTCACATCAGTAAAACAATGTAGCTATTCACACAGCACAAGGAAAGGCCAAGGGAGGGAAGGATTATAGTGCATTCGTTGATTGTGGGATGCAACAGCATCCATGCCTGCTTATATTCCCTGTCACCACTGAATCTCATCAGCTGCACCCACTGGCTTCATTCAGCTCAGGGTAGGACAATTTCCTTGATAACATGTTGATCCTAGCAACAGCCCTCCTGTATTGCATCTTCTTAGGGCAACAACACTGTTGTCCCACTGTGCTTTGCTAGCGGGTCTGATAAGCGTTTTCAGTTTTATCATGCACCTGTCTAGTCTTACAGTGATAAAACTCACATCACAAACTTACTGTAAATCCAGTGAGAACACGCTGCAAATCCGTGAACTTGTTTTAAGTGTAGGAAAAGCATCTGCGTACACCAAATACCTCTCTTATTCCCAGCAAATGCACTCAAGAGCCTGATTGCTCTTTTGCAACTTGACAGTCAGCCCCTTCACCCTGTCCTGCAGCTAGGACTTGTAAGTTCTGCAGTACGTTGTACTTGTAACTACTAGTAAGTACTGCAGTACTTACTCATACCGCAATAAGAGAGTGCTCTCTCCAGGTAAGTGGATGATTTTGTGACGTGGCCTAACTAGTGCTGGTTTAGTTAGGCCAATCCACTGCTGGATTTTCCTGGGCAAGTTGTCTAAGTCTCCTGATTTCTTTTTCACCCCCTATTTCTTGGTCTAAATGCTTTCTGATCGTTAGAAGTTAGGGAGCCTTAAGGGAGAGAAGGAAGCCAAACACACTCTTAAAAATAATTTCCTTAAAACTGGTGGCTTTAAAGAGGCCATCTCTCCTATTCCAGTCACAGGAGAATGCAGCGTCTCTTCCCTGACTGCCTATTTCACTTCTTCAATATCAACATAGGTTGTACCTCCAAAGGTTCGTGATCACTTCTGCTTCCAGATCCCTTTTTTAGCTTCTCTCTACAGACACTACCTTCACCCTTCTGGAGACCACAGTTTTAAGACCCTCCTGGCAGACACATGGCCTCTACACTGCAGCTGCTGATCCTGTTGCTTATGAGACACTGTTTGGCTAGGCCACAATGGGCACTGCCGCATTTCTCCTTGTTTCTTGTTATCATCTGCTTCTTGCCAGCCCAAGGAGCCTGTTGCTGGCCCCACCTCCCCCTTCCCTCACCCTGCTTGGTGGATACGCCAGGCTGCTAATGCTAATTGAGCTCCAACAAGCTGCGAGCTGCCATACCCCCCCGCTCTCTCAGAGCACGCTTCACTTCCCCCACAACCAACACCCTTCCCGTTTATTTAAACTATTACAGCAATAGGAGAAAAAATCCTCCTCTAAGCTCTGAGTAGCTTGTTAATGAATGTCACAGGTTGCCTCCTTGTTTTACTCCAGGCGCTATGGGTTTGAATGCTTTGAGCCCAGTCCAAAGCCTAAGCTTAAGCACTCCTACCCCTTGGGAGGCGGGGGGTGGGTGTGTGGTGATGGGGGATGGGGGTGGTGCTGCCTATTGCTCTGTAGGAAACAAAGCAGATTCCTGGGGCCACATGAAGGACATCAAATCCCAAGACCTGCAGCAGAGGTTCCAAACCATTTGTGGCTTTAGAAGCCGAAAGTTCTGCCAAACTCTCGTTCATCTGTCCCCTTGGTACCACCCTGAGCAAGAAACCACTTCTGGCACTTCCACCAGCTGCATGCTGGAGCTCCTCTTCCCTCCCTTTCATGCCCAAGCCGAGTATTTCTCCATGGTCCAGTAGCCTCCATAACTTCTCCCCACCCCAGGTCTCAACAGTCTCTCAATAGCAACTGGCTTCTGCCAAACCAACGTCTTCTCACCTAACAAATTCTCACATTTCCCACAAGCATACCTGCACCCCCCTGAATTCCTCAGCAATCCTCATAGCTGCTTCCCTTTTGACCTTCCCCTTGATCCCCTTCGAGCTCTTCTCGTATCTTGTCTCACATTTATTTCTTCCTCTTCCCAAGGAGGGTACTAAGCGCTTGAGCACCCTGAGATTTGTAGATCCTGGATACAGCTCAGTTTCAAGAGGCTGGAAACACGAATTACCAACTGAAGCTTGAGGGAGGAGAGGAAGGTGATCTCCTCTTTAGTGATCTGACTTACCCACTAGCTTTGAGCAAGGTCAGCAGTGAGACGAACAGTGAGATGGGGTAATTCACAGACCAGACCTGTTCAGTCATGTGCTCACCTTCCTAAGGGAGACATGGATGGTAGCTGTGCGCCACAAATGCAGGAGATGAAAAATCAACAGAATAGCAGCTAAGTCAGCTTGACTTACCTGCTTTTCTCCTTCCCACTCCAGAAAAAGTAAGATAAGATTTCACGCTTTTCCCCCTTGCATAAGTCATGTTGCACACACAACCTGTTTTTCGGTTTCTTGCTGGATTACTCTTAAAAAGAAATTTAAAGAATACTTGCAGCAGCAGCTAAGAGTGAAACTGGGCCCCCGCTAGTCAAAAGCACTTCTATCCAGGTGCCCGTGGTTTTCTGTGCACTCCTGTGATAGCCATCACTTGCTGTGATGCCAGCTGCATTAACAACTGGGGCATCAGCTTTTGATCTGCTGCTGCATGAGCTCTGATGGTAAGGGAAGAATGTGGATGTGTGTATGTGTCCATCTAAAAAAAAAAAGAAGAAAAACAATTGTGCCCTGCAAACACAAAAAGCTCCCGAGTTCATCCAGTCCTGTGCCCTGGAAGTCCTTCAGTGCAAGCTCATAACCCAGTGAGCACTTCCTCATTAGGACACTGAAGCATTTTGAAATGTCTCTGCTTCTTGCTGCACTGTTTCACACGGCTCTCTAGACCTTTCTGTACATGGATACTGGCAAAATGTTTCCTGGAGAGGACAGACCAAAATCTGTTTTGGTAGTAGCACTATCTCCTTTTTTTGGATCACTTCTCCTAGAAATGCTTCTTCACCTCCTGTTTTCATTTGTGACTACAGCTATGATTTGGATTAAAGCTGTTGCAGTTTCTCCCTTATCAGTATATTTCTAAGTCACAGGAGTGCATCTTTCTGTGAAAGTTTCCAAATAATTTCCCTGCTTGTTACCCTGGTGTCCGTGTAGCTAAAGGCAGGGGAAAATCTCCCAGTACTAGAAGGAATACATTTGTGTGCATGGTCACTGAGTTGTGCATGCAAACAAGGTGACTGGCAGCCTAAATAATACCTGCCTTTGCTAACATTTATGGTACAGCATTGACAGATTTGCACATGGCAGGCAGTGTTAAGTGCTCTCCCATATTTCCCAAGGTGTGGGAGAGACCCTTCTCTCAACAATACTACCCAAAAGAAACAGAAACTGCTACAAATGCAGCGCCTGTTTGGTATATTGGCATGAATTCAAATGCTGTTAGGAGAAAAAACCCAGCACTTCAAAGGTAAAAAGCTTTCACTTTTAATTCAAAAAGCAGCTTCCCAATTCAAATCTATGTCAGACATCAAATACACTGCTGATCAGGCAAGTAAATGTGTAACTCTTCCTCCCAGAAGTGTCACTGGCTTCCAGTGAAGCACGGAAGGTCATTATCCATTATTCACGAGAGGAAAATTACATATTTATTCCCTTGCAGCTCAAATAAATGCTGCCTGAAGCCTTGCACAGATGGGCCCTATTTATGGTAACACCTGACCTTGCCGAGATAAGGTTAATAGATGCTCTCAGACCTGGTCCTACACACTGTGGTGGTATTGAGCCCCTTCCCACAGCTTCAAGCACTTGCTCCCTCCCAGTGGCCTGTCCCAGCTGCTTGTCGGCCTGTCCCAGGGCTCCTGTTCACCCTCAGACTGTGGGACCAGGATGATGGCTTACCACAGCTGCAGATGGAGGTTGGCTGGTGCAATGGGGTTTCTGACCTGAGCAGCCATCACTGTGCCAGGCAGAAGACAGTCCAGGGCATAGGTTAGCAAGCATTCTCTCTTCCCCCACCTCCTAAGGAAGGTGGAGTCAGGTAGGTACAAAAGGGAACTGCACCCTTGGCTTTGAGGCATGCAAGATGTGATCCACTGAACAGCATCTGATTTGCAAGTACTGCTCTGGTTTTACAGATGTGATACATGTAATAGAAAATTAACTGTCTACTTCTGGTCTGTCTCCCCATAGAAATACATATGTTTCAGTAATCACAAAGCTATCACTGAACTCAGTTAGCAATTGCATAGTGCTAACTCTTTTGCTGCTTTTGAACCTTTCTGATAAACTGAAGTCCACTCAACCCATTGTAAACGCAGATGCCCCAGGCACAGAAATAGCATTAAAGCCCCAGTAACAAGCACATCAGATTATCAGGACAAAATTGAGCTTTCAGTGTCTTGTCTATTGCAAAACCTGATGATTTCTCTCCTTAATGAACTGGA